CTATGGTCCAGGACTATGGTCTGGGTCTATAGGAGGAACACAGATCCAGGTCAGATCCATCTTATTCCAGTCACCAGGATGTGCAGGATTCATCCATTCAGTTCAGACAGGGTGGGCAAACCTTTGGCTCACGGGCCAACTGAGGGTCAAAGTTTGACAGGCGGGCCGGTTCAGGATTAGTTGGATTTAGAATGCTGCGCTGCTGTACAAGAATAAACCTTAACTTTCAAAGATAACGTAGCACATTTGATGTTTGCTGCCATCTAGTGGCATCAAAAATGTTTTTTTATAGTCAATTCCTTGTAACGCACAAAACACAAAGATTGGCGTCAGTATTTACTGTGTCTGATACAAATGTTTAGCGGGCCGGATCAGAAAATGTAGTGGGCCATATCTGGGCCAGGGGCCGTAGTTTGACCAGGTCTTGTTCAGTGTGAACAGTTAGTCCACCCGCTGTAAGGCAAGAGCACTAACCACTCTGACACCGTACGTCACCTTCAGATTCAGGTTGTGTTTTTTTCTGCTGACACTTCACAAAACCTGCTGCTGATTTCACGCCTCACCATCACTCATGGAAAAAACACAAACCACCGCAGGTTATTTAAATCTCTTTACTCCAGACCTGAAGTCAGTGATCCACAATAACACACACTCACACACACACACTCACTCACACACAGGATCTATGTGTGTGTGTGTGTGTGTGTGTGTCTGGTCTTTTATGTCCCCGTGCAGTAATTGAACAGAATCTGTTTTTCACTCGACTGATTCTTTTCACAACGGACAGATCCCTCCAGAGGTGTGTGTGTGTGTGTGTGTGAGAGACACACACACAGAGAGAGAGAGAGAGAGATAAAGGCTGATCATGCTACACTAGCAGACTAGACTGTGACAGTGTGTGTGTGTGTGTGTGTGTGGTTATCTCTACTCAGTCCAAATTAGTTTTTTTCCGCCCCATTTAACCACATCATTACACCCTCCCTCCCCATGACATGAGCGGAAACCTGCTCCTGTGTGTGTGTGTGTGTGTGTGTGTGTGTGTGTGTGGGTGGGTGCGATAAAAATGGAATGGTCAGCACTTTTGTTCCCATGATTAATGAAATTGAGCGATTTTCTCTGTCTCTCTGCCTGACTTCAGTTAACTATCGTTGGATAAATGATATTCTTTCAGGAGATTCAGATTACAGTCAGATAGTTAAGACTAAAAATTACTTCTCAAAAAAGAAAAGAAAAAGTGATATATTTTAGTGGTTCAAACAAAGTGTATTTTAGTTGTTTAGCTATTAGCCTCATATTAGCCTCATATTAGCCTCATATTAGCCTGGTCTGTTTTTGGTCTGATCAATAAAGTTGAGTCAAAGCTAAATGATAGCTCATGCTAACAGCTGTAAACAGAGTCTGGTTCTGTGTCAGCCTGTCAGGTCTGCTGTGTGGGGTAATCTGTGTGATCACAGTCACCTGTGTCTGTAATTAGCCTCACTCCTGTCACCTGGTGCTCCCTGTATATATACCTCTCTCCTTCACGCGGGCCTGGTTGGATCAGTGTAAGTTAGTGACTGTCTGTGTGAGCACTGTGTGGTTGTGTCGAGCTTTTTGTTGTAGCTGTTCCTAGTTTGTTCCTGAGCAAGTCTGTAGCTGTGCCCAACTCTGTTCGTGTTCTCAGCTCTGCTCGACTTTGCGTATGTTTTTGTCCTGTTTTTTGGAATTTAGAATCTTCAAATAAACCGACGTGACGCAGCCTGAATTTATTCACTCGCTCTTCTCACCGTGGAGAACATCGATCGTGATTCACTCCGTCAGATTTTCTCTCCGTCAACAGCGGAAGCTTCTTCATACAATAATGAGCTCGGCCGCAGCAGAAAATCAATTTCAACAACAGCAATTACGCTGCAGATCGTTGAGGTTACAAGACAAACGCACACCTGTGAGACGCCCAGACCAACAAGTCACGTTCTCCTCAGTCTTAACGTCTCTAACGAACAACTCTCTTTTTCTCCCCAGTTCCTTTCCCGACTCCAAAGAACAGTATCCAGATTTTCCCTTCAAGAATGGAGGCATGGCGGGGGCCATTGAGCTGAAACGGCCTGTGGGGGCGCACTGTCATGGAACCAAAGCCGTGGTGCATGAGGAGAGCGTGGACAGGCTTCTGGCCCAGAAGAAACTCTACATCGCCTCGGGCGTCTGCCTCATCTTCATGATCGGAGAGGTCGTAGGTAAAGTTGAGATCATCGTGATCTGACCGAGACGGGACTTGGTCTCACTAAGATTGTTAGGCTAGCTTGTTTAAAAGTCTGGGTTTTAAGTACCAAAAGTTCCACTATTTTGCCAATATAGATGAAAGAAATTAAGTAAATTCCACAACCTACCACTAGAGGGAGACAAAGCACCACAATTGTTATACCCGCCATCGTTTGAGAACCGCTGATCAAGTTCTAGAGGGAGTACTAATGATATATGTTGAAGGCATATATGTAGTAATGTCATTTAGTCTTGATGGGAGCAGCCCAGACAGGAATTAGGCCACAACTCACACTCCACTCTCTGGGGGGGGGGGTCTCTGCAGGAGGCTACCTGGCCCACAGCCTGGCCATCATGACAGATGCTGCCCACCTTCTGACAGACTTCGGCAGCATGATGGTGAGCCTGTTCTCCCTGTGGATCTCCTCCAGACCACCCACCAAGACCATGAACTTTGGCTGGCACAGATCAGGTGAGAAGTGGGCAATGTTCACAACTGAGTGAAAACATTCTACAGTTTCTGTGGCGCCCCCTGGGAGAGGCTGCCTGTTGGACTGGTTCTAGCTGGGTTCTTCTGTCTTCTGTCCTCAGAGATCCTGGGAGCCTTCATCTCCGTCATGTCCATCTGGATCGTCACAGGAGTTCTGGTCTATCTGGCCGTCGAGAGGATCGTACGCAACGACTACGAGATCGATGGCCACGTGATGCTAGTGACCTCCGGCTGTGCCGTCATCGTCAACATCATGTGAGTGTTCCACAGTATAAGCATTAATGGGGTTTAATACAGTGTATGTATATATGTATGTGTGTATATATATGTATATGTATATATGTACGTGTATGTATATATATATATATGTATATATATATATATATATATATATATGTATATATATATATATATATATATATATGTATATATATATATATATATATATATGTATATATATATATATATATATATATGTATATATATATATATATATATATATGTATGTGTGTATATATGTATATATGTGTATATATATATGTATCTGTATCTCTCTCTTTCTTTATCTCTCTCTTTATCTCTCTATCTCTCTCTTTATCTATCTCTCTATCTCTCTCTCTCTCTATCTCTCTATCTATCTTTCTCTATATCTCTATCTCTCTTTCTATCTCTATCTATCTATGTATCTCTATCTCTATATCTCTATCTATATCTATATATCTATATCTATCTATAGCTATATATCTATAGCTATCAATCTATCTGTATATATATGTATATATACACACATATACACATGTGTATATGTATACACATATACACATATATAATATCTCTATCTCTCTTTCTATCTCTATCTATCTATGTATCTCTATATCTCTATCTATATCTATATATCTATAGCTATATATCTATATATCTAGCTATCAATCTATCTGTATATATATATATACATGTATATATACACGTGTATATATGTATACACATGTACACATATATACATATACATATATACATGTGTGTATATATATACACATATATGTGTATATATATATGTATATACGTGTATATGTATATATGTATATATATGTGTATATATATGTGTATATATATATGTATATACGTGTATATGTATATATGTATATACGTATATATATGTATGTGTATATGTATATATGTATGTATATGTATATGTATGTATATATGTATATATGTATATATATATAT